TTGCATGTCAGTTATACCATTCTAGGCTCTGAAGAAGGCGAATCCATCGAAACCTCTGCTATTGTGAATTAATAGATTCTGTAATAACAACTTTGTATTTGTTTGCTCATCAAGAAAAACAGTGAATTATTATTACACGATTTTTTCTTAATACCGATCTCAAACGAAAACTGTGAGATAAATATTTATGACAAAGAAAGGGAGAAAAATCTGAAGAATAATCAAGTTAGACGGATATAGAGGTAATCGAACACGTGCTGAGTTTGGCTCGGAACCGGATTTAAATGGGAATGATATCGGCGGCATCTCTAAATGAGAGCTTGGTTTCCACATTAACAACTAGACCATGGTAAAAGAAAACGTAGAAAGATGAAAAAAGAAAGAAGATGGATGATAAAACTTGCTTAGCAATCGAAAATTCTAAAATAGCTCAATGATTTCTGATACCGCCGCAGACGCCGTTACGCATGAATATCGATGAAAGTTCGATGGAACGCTTCAGTTATCATTGTCAACATCATCATTATCATCATCATCACAACCTTCATCGCTTTCACCATCATCGCCAATTCGAATGTAATACGAACGGTCAATATTAGTTGCATCGCGTTAATAGACTTATGCCCTTCATAAAACCGTTGATGAAAATGTCAACTTATTGAAGCAGGCATCCATATCGTTAACATTTACCATTAACTTATCAATGATAAGCAGAAGCATAGGTTATGCTGGACATCAACTGAAAGAACTAAAAACACACGTTCCTGCTATTACTTTTGAATAAAAACACCACGGATAGGTTTAAATTGTTGGGCTTACAAAAGGTTAATAAACAGGTTTATTTCGGCTAATGTTTCGACGTCTTCGTCGAGATCAGAGCCGATGATCCGTGTTGGTGGTCCACCGTTGTTTGTGATCTCGCTGTGGAGTCTTCATTGTAGTACCGAGACGGAATCTTCTTCAGTGATCTTGGTGCGGTGTTCAATTCAATTTCAAGTTAAATACATGTTGACTATTTTGCCATCGAGGTTAAATAACGGTCGGTTTGAAAATTGTTTTACTAGGCATGGACCCAAAAAACAATGTATGGGATTCATAAAGATCGCTCAGTAATATTATTTTAAGGCATTACAATTATAGTCAAATTGAACCAATCCGACTGTCAGCAGTGCTTTTCCGGTAATCATTCGTGCGAAGAATGTCATTTCACGAATCGAGGGAGGAAAGGAAAAGTTGGAAAATGTGGAATCCCGGGTGGTAACTAGATTATTCATAGAGTTGTGAGCAATTTTCGAATTTAAATAAATTATTTTTATATTTTTATTGAGCAAACACTAGGTGCTATTTTGTTTCTTTATCTACGAGCAAGCTGAGGTTTTGTCGGACTTTGCCATCCTCAGAGCGTGCAAAGGTCAAGTTGACCACAATCTACCCAGCCAAACGCCTCCATAACCAAACAGAGAAGATGCTAAACCAAGATTTCAATCACATTGAACACAGAGTCTTTGCACACTCACCGCTTTCTATAGGTTTTCCACTAATTATGTCACGTGGGGACCAACCGCGCAGAGTTCACATGAAGACGTAGCGTGGCCCTTCACATTAGAATAACAGGTTTAAATACTGTCCAATATCACACGTCGTTTTGAGGCATTACTCTCTGTGCTTCATTTTCGGAATCTTAGAACTAATCCAGAATTCCTCGAGAGTTTTACACGCTCGTGTGTTTTCGATTCCTATGCGAGGATCGTAACTTCTACTTTAGAATCTTCCCCGCTATATATCTGCGTCCTGTGCGCCTCCAGTACAGTATTTGGTTTAACTTCAAGCTCACCCGCTAGATGTTCTTTTATACAGACGCACAGTGGTCTGCCCGTTTCACCAAAGTATTGGCCCCTCATGCTTTACGAGAGGTCAGATGAACTGTATTCGCACTCATCCAATCACCGTCTGTACCGTTAGGGCAAATTGTGCAATTTTGTGTTATGCATTGATGTTCATACAAGCGGTTGTGAAGCAGCTGGCGTCGTAGAGTCCTGGACTGCGTTTAAACTGCTGATACGGTATTCTCTAGAGCGAGCTTTCTTAAGCAACGTTTTACATCTGGACTTATTTTATTTGAAATGAAAGACAGGGTAAACTGGGCCTTGTTATCACTAGAGTTGTCATTTGGTGCTTAGGTTTTTCTCTATACCTGTTCCGAGGTGCTTCATTTTCGTAGGCATTAGAAATTACTATTTTCCGCTCCAAGTCTCGGACCTCTTCCTTCTGCTCTCGTCCTGTGAACACGCTGGTTGCCGTTAAGAACATATATTTTACAAGGGTGATTTTTGTGTGTGAGGGGCGAGGGGTCACTATTTGGCATTTAGCACCACTTCGTAGTGTATCCATTTTTGGATAGGCTAATTTGAACATTCGGAAATGGAACCCACTTTTCTTTCCGTTTTTCTCGGGTAAAAGTAATGTGCTTTCATTGTCCATTCAATAACTCAATACATTTACGCATTTCATCCTGTGCTGAGCAAATGGCAAGCAGTCACCTTTATATCTACAGCAGTCTAATGGCCGGAGATCGGTTACTGGTGCTTCCACGTTAGACATAAAAGCGATGGCAAAGCTTGGCGCCAGTCGTTGTCCCATGCCAAGCCTCTTCTTTGAACGTAGTACCTTCCGAACCATCTGAAGATTGATCATTCGAGTAACTTAATATGAAGAATATTAGAATGTACTGTAAAATGTGCAATTTTATTGTCTTGAAGAAAACGGAGTGAAAATGCTTTCGTTTTAAAGAGTTTCTTGTATTTCTGCCGCTTTTGTATTCCGTATTGTTTTACTTTGCAAAGTTTTCGTTCCTTTCACAGATCCTCAGTTAACCTCGTCATTGTTCAGTAAGTCTGACTTGCTGAACAAAGTTTTCATTACTTTCGTTTAGCCTTGATCATTTCTTCGCTTCAACTGCAATATTATTTAAATGAATCTCATTCCAGAGTTTGATGATATTTTCTACTCTTCCAAGACTTGGAACATCGCCCAGTAAAGTGTTTAACCTGTAGTGCAGCTCAACTTTAAATGCTGGTTTTGATAGAATCTAGAATCTAAAGTTTTTTTATACTTCGAAAAGTTTTCTATTATCTGATCAAACTCTGTTATTCAAAACGCAGTTATAGACAGCCTTAATGAATTTATTTGAAAAAGAACGACTCATTTCTAGTTCACAGTGAGGATAAAGGATAAAAGGATAAGGACCGCAGTGAGATTTGGTAAATAATCCTGCTAACATTACCATTAATATATGGACATTGCGAATTGTTCGATCATAAAGGACTGCGAGAGAAATTAAGATCTCAAAGTTTGAACTGAGAGCTGGATCTCACACTTTACTCAGTCCTTTACCCTTTACTTTCCTTTTTTTTTCTTAATTCACTTCACTTTGCTCCTTTACTTGATACCTACTTTTCCGCCATTTTTAAAATAAAGTCAAACACATGTATACCTCCGGCACTAAACCTATCACACCTATAACTAAGTTGTCTTTCGTATACAATGCAGAGACATTTGCAAAACTCCGGACCGCAGGTGTATGCGGTGGGGAACGAATGCGCGCTGTTGCCCCGGTAAAGACAACAGCGCGCGTTCGTTTCCCACCGCATACTCCTGCGGTCCGGAGTTTTGCAAATATCTCAGCATTATATACGAGTTATATTTCGCAACATACCCTGCCATTAAAAAGAAGAAGGCAGTAAATAAAAGGGTTAAGATTATAAGTTGTCCTTGTTGGTCTTGATATGCCAGTAAACATCACTATAGTCTTCTTACGATCTCATAGCGCTTCGGCAAGTTCCGCATTCTGGATTTTGGAGAATAAAAGGGTAGAACGGATAGATCGATCGCTGTTGATTAGTTTCGCATAAAGGCGCCAGCCATCCGACTTCATTCGAAACATCACAGAGGTAAGTGGGACTACATTTCGCCTATGCAATGACCTGCGGTGGCCCGGAAATGTACTAGGTCAGTGTTATCTCGGTCCTTCTAGAGAATTTGGTACCAATTCTGGTATCCCAGTGCGATGTAGGGCTTAGTGTGCCTTGCGGTCAAGACCGAACCAGTGGTCTCGCCTGCATTTCAGGACACCTCTAACAACTGAGCTACACAAGCGTTTAACTACTGTGAAACGAATTTAACATTATTTAGACAAACTACATTCGGGATATCCTAAGTGGACATGAAACTATTTTAGGTCTAATTCCGTATAAGCACATAAATAGAACAAGACGTGTTCTTTTAGAGCCCCCATTTGTGAGATATTACTGTTACTGGAAGAAAAACAGTTGACGAACGTATACATTAGACTCCTTTGACCTTTTCATCGCTCCAAGTGAAGAATCAAAAAATGGCTTAATCGCTTCCATGCTGTTCATATTAACCGGCTATAGAGCTACACATTGCTCCGCTTCTTCTCTATCAATTTCACCTTGAGTCTAATTCCTCAATTTACGTGTAAGAAAGAATGACTGTCAATTTATGACAAAAAGGAGAATCCCAGAAATAAACCACGACCATGGTAACACTCATTATGTGTTCTTCGTTAGAAGGTGTAGTTCTTGGTAACGGAATTCATCACATTTTAAAATAGGGCTTAATCAAATTTTATCTGAACTATCAAGGAGAGGTGGGAAAACTGTGACGACAACCTTAGAACGGTGTACTCACAATATTTCGCTTGAAAGTTGGACACAGATTTTCGAAATGGCCTTGTGGTTATGTCATCTAGTAACCGGCCTCCCTTTTAGTGAGGAAAGACAGGTCCGGGCAGCTTCATATGGACTCACCGCCCTTTATTGCGTCTGTTCGTCCTCCAGCACACACCAGCTTACCAGGCTAATTGCGACTGCATTGTTTCGGTTCTTCGGGACTTCTACTTAGTTATATTTGCAATATTGCAGAGTACGACTATGTTCTTAGTAATCCTAACCCTAGTAATACTAATTTTTAGCAAAGAAATGTCATCGCATCAGGTGAATTTTTGATTATCATAATCGCCTTTGAAAAAAGAAAACAACCAGATCGTGAAGATGGTTAACGCTCTTCCGTCGTTAAAGAAGATCTCCCTAATTTCTTCATTTTTAGGGAACTCTTCAACCTCTTGAGCATCGGTGTGGACTTCCAGACAACTATGACTCGTTACCGGATTATGCACAAGCGGAATTAAATGATCTTTGGTGAAGTTTTACATTTACTGTAAAAATGATTCTAAGCCCTATTAACTCAGTAACTGTTGCTCAGGAGTACCTGGGTACCTGACACACCGTGCATGAAAGAGTTGGAAATTCAGCACGATATCTTCAACCTGGTGAAAGCCTTCAGTAACAAGCTCGAACGAAAAAGTATGTGTAGTTCTCGCCATAATATATCTATTATCCGGAGTTCATCTTTCTTTCTTTCTTTTGAATTTCGTCATTCATCAGCTGAAATATCTCCTTACGCGATCGCTGACAAAAACACCAGTCTGTAATCTTCCACTGAAGGCAATTTGGTAGAGTAACTCTCTCTTTTTGTTAGCATTAAAAACCACTTTCTTACTGAAAAGTCGGCGTTTAGTTAATACTGTGAAAAAATGCCGAGGCACTCGACAAAGCTATGAGAATTGTTACCATTCTTGTAAAACAAACGAATATTATTATAATTTTTTCATTTCAATTTTTTTTCCTCTTTTTTTCGTACCTCATACTCATCGTAGTGCTGCGCAAATACCATACCTACCTTACACTTATTTATGAGATAAAAAATAAAGGGTTCGGTAAAAATCATTCCATGTAGGAATTATAATACTCGTTTTTATCTTCTCAAGCTGCCCTATAGCAATTTGTCCATCCAAGATTCATGTGAGGTTTCCTTAACCTAGGATGTGAGATTCAGTTAAGTGTGTATTGCGACATTCCACTAACCACAAGGCTGTACACGTTTGATATTATAACAAAGACAAAATTATCCTCTTACTGGATCATAACATCATCGTGGTGAAAACGGTACACCTGAGTGTCTAACAGCGATGTACACCTAAGAGTGCTCACTCTGTGATAAGACCATTCTTAACTAAGCAATTCGACATTTCCATTCAGAAGCTCACGCAAAACTTAACCTATACAACAACCTACTCTATGGATTCGCCGTGACTATCTTGTCCCTAAAAAAGTAGACCTAAAGCGCCTTCTAATAAGGGGCGAGCACTCTCCATCAAGAACCAATGGATAACACTAAAGCGTGGAACGAAATGATTTGTCCTACAATTGTTGTATTTCGCTGAGTCTTACTATTCAAACAGAATTGCATTTTCGAGAGACAATAGGAGAACAGAAATTTTAAGATTGTAATGAAGCGTTGTTTTTGCAGGTCGCCCATGCAACGCGGCCTAGGGTAATAACATGTGGAGAGTGGTGTTGTTTGCGAATAGGTGCTATAGCAGCTATTAAGAGCTTAGCGACTACGGCTCAATTTTGTAACCAGCACATAAGTGGCATATGGTCGACACTTCAGTAGAAAACCCTTAAGATTAACTAGATTTTTCAGAACAGAATGAGAATACTAGTGGTCGCCTTTATGTAGTACCTGCTGCCACGACTCCAGATGACTACGATGATGACTACGTTGTACAAGTAATATTCTATTGAAATTTTTTTTCAGCCTTTCCTAGCTACACACAGATACAAACATGCGTTCAGAACTCAGAACCGTTCTGGAATGTCATCGAAACAAAGGCCGAAGCTAAGCGAAATCCACAATCGAGGCCAACCCGTTTTGATGAGGTTACTTAATTAAAAGAATATTTTGATAAGAAATTTTAATAAACACCATGTGGTGCGCAGCAAGTAGACTGACATTTTGTTGACGGAAAACTTTAATTCGCACCAAATAATTTTACTGAGGCTCTTCATGTACTATAAGAGACACGTGTAGCGCAGTGGTTGGAGGCGCCAATGCGACGCACACGTGAAATCGATCTCAACGCCCATGGTCCACTAAGCCTTCCATCCCTTCAGGGTCGGCAGATTGGTACCAGACTTGTCTGGGAGGTTAGCAGCGCTGGCTCAATACATCGGTAGGCCACCGCGAGTCATTATAAAGGCCATATGTGCATTCAATCACCTCCAACGTTACTTAATGAAGTAGAATGCACGGCTCATCCCTCAGGGATTGATCAACGCCCAGAGTTTTATCCTTTTCCTTTAAGGTTCTTCATTTGACAAAGTTGAAACAAATATTGTTCGAGAATACTTCGGTTGCGTTCTCGAGACATTTTTTGTAGCAACAGTGCTTAAGGTGAAATGGAAATAGCTTCACGTAGTTAGTATTCTGTTGCTGTTCGAACAACTCTTGAAACACTCTCTGTAAAACTAAAAAATGCATTCATTTATAAGGATTTGAATCGCTGTGTTTATGTATCTTACGATATAAGCAAGTACCGATGTTCGCCTAAAAAATTACATCATAGCGTGTACGATGGTTTTGTGCAATTGTATTACTAATAAGGTAAGGTAATTGTATTACTAATAAGTTAATCCTTCATCAAAGCGCACTTTTCTATAAAGAACTCAGTAAAAAACATATTTCTGTACTCTAATTGAAAGTGGTAATTGGGAGGAAATCTCGCTAATTTCTATGAGAGGACTTCTAAAAGAGCAATTCCACTAGCATCTTTCTGTCAAAACAGTCAGTTTTGTAACCTATACAAAACCTATATATATATATATATATATATATATATATATATATACGTATAATATATACGTATATATATACATACGTTTGTAACCTATATATATATATATACATACGTATATATTCACATATACTTGGATACTTGGATGGACCATCCTCTCTAGTTAGTTGTGCGGGCCCCAGCATAATCTCCACTTTTTGGGAAACTTTCTGGTTTAGCCATTGCCGATATATGCATATATCCAAATATAGTTAGAAACCTAAACTGCCCGTCCTCACTAGTTGTATGGGCTCCAGCATAATTCCCATATTTTAGAAGACTTTTTGATTTAGCCACTGTGGTTTCCTAGAATTCTGAGGTTAACCTGGCCCAAGTCTGCCCCAGGTCGTTACCACCATAGCAGTCGCCAACCTTGTGCATCAAAGTGACATTCCCCCCCCCCCCCCCCATGCGACTAATTTTAATTTGATACCACGACTGTGGTGGATCGTGGTATTGGTTTACCCTTAACTAGGCTTCTTGTTGGAAACGCCTGACTCCTTCTTGGCTTGGGAGATCCTGTTCGGGATGAATTCCCTTGTTGTACATCGCAACCCGACACCCAGGAACACTCCCAGCCACGATAAGGTGGTAAATCGTTGGGTGGTGTATATAGTAAAACAGTGTTGCAAATATCAAAGAATAACTCGAAAGACCGACTTTCTATGAACCTCGGCATAGATAGTTGATATATTTATTTATGTGATCTTATAAACTGATTTTCTTAAGCTGACGCGAGGTTGGTACAGATCTTCGTTGTCGTTGTCGTTGTCGTTGTTTTTGATGTTATTGAACGATGGCTGACGTTTCGGCGACTTCGCCTTCCTCAGAGCCTGGACGTACTTTATGTTAGAATACTTTTTATTATTCGGTGGAAAAGAAGGTTAAAGTATTAATGAAGATCAAACTTTCAAATAGACGCCATATTGAACAGAAAGGTCACTCACTGTGATGTTATGTGCGGGACTGGCCGACACGTAGTTTACGCGAGCAAGACACGCCCCGGGGTCAAAATATCATTTTGAAATAGGGCGCCAGGTCACGCGTGGTAGTGAGGCATTCTTCCTTCCGGTTCGTCTTTGGATTTTTGAAATTTATCCAAAACGCCTCAAGAGTTTTGCGCGTTGATGTTTTCGATTCCTGCGCTAGGATCCGCACGGTCACTTCAAAATCATTGCCGTTGTGCTTTTGTGCCCTATGCGTACCTAGAGGGGTATCAAAGAATAGTCGCAGACTTTTGCTCTTATCATAGGCAAGTATCGACGATATCGCAACGATGCGATTTAACGATGGAAAAGCTTCTTTCTTGCGATCGGTCTCACCAGAAGTTCGTCGTCAATTCGAGGATGTATGGAATGATGAGAATATTCCTAGTGAATCGCTCAGAATGCTCAAGGTACGGTATTTCCTGAATAGTTTAAAGAATGAGTCCATATAATGAAACGAGATGTGTTTGTTTGAGGTTTTGATAGAATACTGTTTTCAGAAGTGCAGCACTTCACCAGAAACACGTAAATACTCATAATAAACCTGCGTTAATACTTTTTCACCAAATTTAACAAAAAAAAAATCCCCATTTTACACCAGTAATACGACGAACTAATGCAAGCGAGAAGAGGACATCTCGAAATATGTTTTGAGTAAAAAGGATAAAGGAAGAAAAAAGGTTTTGTGCCCTGATAATTGCTAGATGTTTTTATTTAGTAATGTTTCGGTCGAAACACATTCTGCAAATTAGATATTAAAAGGAACTTCTCGGCGTAAATCAATGCCTGAAGGATGCGCCATGCATTCGAATTCATCAAGCATTGTTTGGAGGAGATCGAATGCATATCTGTGCTTGAAAATGACTGGCGATGGCGCACCGATATATCGAACCAGTTCTGCTGTCCTCCCAGACAAGTCTGATACCAGTTTGCCGATCCCGGAGAGATGGAGGGCTTGGTGGGCCATGGGCGCTGGGATCAATCCCAGATGTGCATCCTAGGACGCCTCCGACCACTGCGCTACACGCGCTCCTTAAATTAGGCATTACTAAATACTGTTCCTGTTACCTTATGTTTTCCACTTTGTATTTCTTATATATTTTCGTATTTCTGTACTTTTCGAAAGTTTTTGTTGCAATGAAACAATTATGTTTAGATTCCTGCTACGTTTTTAGTAAAAAACCTTTGTGTTTTTTCTGAGCCTATAACTAGTAAGTAAGAAAATCTTGGATTTTTGCGCTTTGTAAAAAAAGTTTTCGATGTTTCTTTTTTCTTATAAAAGTGTTCTTAGGAAACCCATTTCGTATAAAATGCAATTGCCACAACCCACTCATGCACGAAAAGTTACCATTTTTCCTCATTTCATGATCAGATCTTTCCTATTATGATTTCGATGGCTCCACAAACAAAATTTTAAATCTGAAAAGTGGGCACCTCAACGTTGCGATTTCTTTTCCAACAATTGTGGCTCAGTGCTTCTTATTACTGATTAGTACGTGATCCATTAGAGTTTAAGGGAAAAAAGTGTTAATGACGAACAAACGTACTTCGTTTTGTAATGTCGCTTCAAAATTTTGAATATTTTTTCTAACTACCCACTTTTCAGATACAGATGCTGGCAGTTTCATTACTGACTGCTAAGCAACTCGAAGAGTATAACCGATGGGCGACCAAGAGGCGTTACGTGTTGAAAGCTCGCGAACGAGAGTTGAGTCGTCTAAGTCCGGATGCAAAGCGACTCCTTAAACGAATGAGCAGTCGACGTACGGCATTTCTAATAGATTGTTCGGAAAGTCACTTTTAGAGCTCAAACGAAAAATTCGTCATTGCTATATTGATTGATTTCCGAGTTAGTTTTAACCATATACAAGGCTTAGAAAAACATGCAGGCATGAAACTCCATTGCGTTCCTCACTTTGCTAACCAAAATTTCATTCAAATTCCCTTGAAGTAAATGAAGCGACTTTTTTTCTTTAGATAAAATATTGTTCATTGTGTGACCATCGAATTCCTATGTTACATTTCAAAGCTTGATGTAAAATGTGAGAAAATTTTTGCCATTATTTTGGCTAAATCCTGACTACTGAACTGCATGGGAAAGATTAAACTAGTGGGTGAAATTCAACTGTAGGGACATTCCTTTAACATAGCTGTCCCGAATTTCTGTAATATTACTAGTTTTGACACTTTGCACAACATGTCTTCATCAGTCGGCTAGTCTTAGAAAGGCTTCATGTGTAATTGCATTTGGATGACTGAGCAAATTTCTATTGTGGAGGATTGAGATTGCTTCATAATGAGTTCCTTTGTTGGAACCAGTTAACTTAAAACATTAAAAATCAGTTTCTTTTAGTTTGATGGGTGTTTTGTAGTCAAAAAACCGAAATCCGCCAACCAGTTATCGTTCCTTCTGACGTCATTAACGGTAGCGCACATTGCGTGGAACGTTGAAAGTGTTTTTTCGCTAGTTTGCGAGAGGTTTTTCCACCTCGAGTTTCGACGTAGCCGTGCCAGGATGTTCCGAGGCCGTCATCACCGAGCCTGGCCGATTATTCTGAATCAGCGGGACTGTCAACTAGGTTTCATTCAGGATCACGCCGATTCCCTATTCTTTCTAGTTAATAGGATTTCGGATAGAAATAACAAACTCATTATCACTTCATAGGACATTCACGACAGGTTTGGCACATTTGCGTTTGATACTCTGGAACACCAACTCAACATTACTAAATGGGAAATCGTGGATGAACGATCAATTTTTACATAAGCTCAGCAACTCTTAATTTCGTCTCATTTAAATTATATCATTGTTGTTTAGAATTCTCTTCGGTTGAGAGAAGATTAGCACTTTGTTCTTTCGTACTTCATTTCTATGTGGTTTGACTCCTTTTGCTTCGTGTACCTTAGCACTTCTTCAATGCGTTCTGCTCTCTTTCAACCATCATCTATAGAAATAATCGAGTTCACAACTGAAACATGAGGAATTGTTTTTCTCCCTAATTGGTATGTTGAATGCCGGTCTACTATAGTTCTCTCGGAAGTGGACGTTTTTAAACCCCAGAGAGTTACCCCACTTTTGTGGATTGTTGGGGCGATTGGGCCTTGTGACTAGGATCCTAATATGTTTTTCATATTTTCAAAAATAATGAAATTGAAAACTGCAGTACCTACTAATGACTGTAGCAATTAACAAGTAAATCAATTGCTCTTTATGTTTTCACGTTAAAACGTCTTATCACAACACCAGAAAATATTTATTATGTTGCGCGCGCGTAACTCAGTGGTTAGAGGTGACCTACAATACATCCATGATCGTCCGCATGATCACGGGTCCTGGATTAATCAAACATTTCGTCCCTTCGGGATTGGCAATTTGAAGCCAGGCTTGTCTGGTAGAATAAAACCACTTTACTTTCCTAACTTCATGCACCGATAGATCCCCTATATCACTTTACAAGCTAAATAAGCATTAAATCACTCTTTTGTGTTGAATGCATGACACATCTCTAGGGGATCGATCAACTCCTAGTGCGTTACCCTTTCTATCCTTTATTTATTTTACCAAACATAGCATTCATTCACATGTCTGGCTGATGTTTGTTTAAAAAGAGGTCAAACCCAGGTGTTGTGTTTTGGACTGTTTATTTTTGTGAACTAAACAAAAAAAGCATACAAGTTAATAATTGCTGGGTAGAGCTTCAGGTGTCGCATCACCAATGAAATGCGGAAAAATGTTTCTGCACAAACGCTCCAAAATTTCAATGACTATGACGTTGATGGTCTTTCTGGACCTCTTTTTCAACATTTCGCTGAACAACACTCATTTTGCAGTAACATTACAATTAGTGTTCAGCTTAGCAGATGTAGCAAAGAGCTTTTCATACTAACCAGTTTAAAATATGGACCCTATGTGGATGGATCATACGCGGAGGAGGTCTTTCAGCACTAAACAAGAATGTCTCAGTTCATAGTGAACTTTATTAATTGAAATGAAATCATTTCAAATCTAGTGCTATGCATCAACGATAGTTTTTTGCTCGATCACGATAATGTTTTAAATTCTTCAAACTATCAATCTTCCTTTCTATCTTCTCCATGTTTCGAGAAGTGATTCCATTGAAGGAATGGGAAATGCTCAGGCAGATAGTGTGCCAAATTACATCGTTGACATTGGTAACTGCTATACTCATACTAAAACATTTTTGAAACGTTTCCTTCCAAAACACTTACGTGAACTAGAAAGTGAAAGTTTCAGTCACATAATTTTGGAACATATATACTTTAGAATAACAGGGTAAAGTCTCTAATAAATGTGTACCAAGTGATGCGCAGCATGGGTTTCTTCTTCTCGCCTGATCACCTGAGCCGAGTCGTTTAACATTTCTACTCATATTTTTACAAATGCCTAATTTTTTGTTGTAACAGAATTGGAAGGGATGGTCGTAACCAGACTCTCATCAACATTATTGAAAACACGTAGCTCACTAACAAAAAAAAGGATTTATAACAAAAACTGTAAAGCTTCTTATGCCCCTCGAGTCGATACTAACCAACTTTGGGTCACTTGATGTGTGCAAATGCAAGTGTTAATAGTGACACCTGAGAGTTATTCGATGTTTAACAGGAGCATATATAGGTGGCACAGTTGGCATATAAGCTAATCACTCACTGTTTCTCTTGAAAAGCAAACACGAGGTTGGTATTCTTCGAATGGAAATCGATGTCTTAAATCTTGTCTGCTGAGATTATCAAAGTGTTTGGCTGATTGGATTACAGGTCTATTCGACTTTTCCAATATCTGAAGGAGACGAAAACGCCGAAAAGTCAGCTATTCTATTCTGTACTAATAAATCCAGTAATACCATCCTCGTGCTTGCTCATCGGGAAAAAGTGAATTATTGATCAATGCCGAGATTAAAAGAAAGTCGGTCTTAGGAGTTAAGTACTACTGTCTTAGCTCCTTATGATGAATTCCTCTTCAGTCATCATATCCTACCCTTTTTTTTCGTCGTAACACAAAATGTATGTGCTAGACATCGGTATGTTTCAGATGGAGAAGACTACGAGTTGACCGTATCGCCTTCAGTGAAACGTGAACTACGAAAATTCGTTACCGCTTTTAATCGACGACGTTCCAGAGCGATTGAGTGATTTTGACAGAGCATTCTTCGTCTACAACGATTTCCTCTTCATCATTCTGTTTGTGATTTGATTTTCACCGTAAAATTCAAACCACCTTATCGGTGCTTTGTGTCATTTTAACGCGCCCGCGATACTCATCGATGAGGACCGCGCTTATCGATCGATTTCTTGAAGAGAAAGAAAAAAAATTTCAATGTCAACTTTATTACAGCATCTTTGTGTTTATCGTAAAAACTTCGTTAACACATAAACGCTCTATTATTCTCTTATAGCACACGTCAATCCCAATTTTTTGTTTCAACGATTAATATGAAAACGTGCACGAGCACCAATACCAACAATAGATTGAAATCAATAGAAAATAAATATCATTGTTTAAATGCCTCTGAAGATCCTAGATGTGTTATCGATTACCGACATAATAAACCTAAAATGTTTGGAAATCAGTTAGCACGACGTAAGACCAGCGGTTAGTAAACCAGTCGTTAACGTAAGCACGAAGTATTCATCTCATTTTACGTGTTCACCCCAATTCGCAACAGTGTCATAGTTCATAGCAATGACAATGACGACAGGCGAATCAGAGTGTACAGGTTGAGATAGAAGAACGTTGTCGTTCCAGTTCTACGTAAGCACCGACGATGGAGAACACTCAAGCCGATCATCCCAGTTCGCAACAGTGTCATAGTGCCCACCAAGGACAATGACGACCGTTGAACCGGTATGCTCAGCATGTACACATTTAGTTGGTTAGAGTTGAGTTGGGTTCTGTTGAGGTTGAGAGTGTGTAAGATGGATGAATGGTGAATAGGTGAATGAGTGACGACGAGACGACGACTGATGGTATGTACGGCCGCGGATATTATACACTATTCGAGTGGGGCGTGGTCGACCTGCACTGTTCCCGCCATGTCAGCCGGCGAACGGCGCATCGTCCCGACACCGGCGGCGACGTGCGGAGCATTAACAGCGCATCCAGGCACATTGCCTCCGGCATCGATATTAGTCCGGCGATGTCATCTCGTCGTTTTCCTGCAATATCCTTATTCTGGATGGATGATCACACCTCATCAATGAATAGCCATCGTCGTCCACTGTGATGAACAGACCAACAGAACGACAAATCGAAAACGCTCAGAAGGTGTAGTGTGAACACTTGAAGTACTTTAAAAACCCTATGTAAGACATAAAGAAACTATCAAGAACGTTGTATTTTAAAGACTCTTTTTCAAGGCTTGTCATGTACTTATAAAATAAGTGCTTTGTTCATGTAATTCGGCCTTCAACTCACCACCGTATGGTCAATCATTCTTCCTAAATTCCATTATTTGGCAGATGAACTATTGTGGATAGATCATCTACAAAAACGAAGCGGATAACAACTTATAAGAACCTATGTAGAATTTTATATACAAAAACAGGTGATGAATAGAAATATAAGTAGCTGGCTTTGTCTAATGAGTTTTGTGGTTAATGTTCAGTACATAGACCATGTGCTAAGACTAATACAATAGATAGTACACATCGAAATATGCCTATAAACCGAGCAACACAAACAAATATACTACTAGAGTATTTTGTACAACATTGTTATCTCCATATCTTATGTAGTCATGTGACTTAACGTAACTATAAATTTTATTAAATCGTAGAAGTCTCCATTGTTAGCTTTTTTTTCTCTTAATGTTTTGGTGTCTATTAATGTTTAATGGATTTCGTGAATGAGTCAGCTCGATTAGTTAGCAAACAAAAAGCACTCACACTCGAATACTTGCTTTCCAACATAGATGGTCCACCTTCACAAAGTATCGTTTGCCTCAAGGACAACAGCTTAAGCGCGCATGTTCCTCGTTTGTGAAATGTTTTTTTTTTCTCTGGATTCCCAATAAACTTGTGCAAGGATATGCTCACGTAGGCAGATACACAGTAGACGGTCGATTAGTAGGAACAGGTAGGAAGCCAGTTTAATAGGTGGAGAATAACTTTCCTCCTGGGCGGCTACTTTTCTAGATAATGGGTTATTCTCAATTGGCCTTTCAAATGGAAATGTCGGAGGAAAAAAAAGGAGAGATGAGGAAGGCAAAAAGTGGTGCGCATACAAGTTATGAAAGAAAAACAACGAAAAACGAGTTGTTTGCAATAATATTTATATTTTATGAAGCATATAATATACATAACAAAATGTGTCTAGTGAAAATCGTAATGTGGATCGATCCCGGTTAGCTATGTTAAGTTGTTTCTCTAATAAAAATTGTTAATTCAACAAATATTTATTAAGCTGTTGTTGATGGTATTCCAATCAATAATGTGTGACTTCATTTTTGTTTTTTTTTTCTTAAGTGAGAGAGTAACTGGTGGGAAGAGCGTATAAAAAAATAAAACATTATTTGTTATGTATTTCAAGTAGTTGAGCGAGAAGGTCCTTTTTAAAGTTTTCTCTTGATAAGAAAGTGCGAGCTGTTAAAAGCTCTTGCTAGGTGGATTAGACATTTGTGATACCATAGGCACACTTGGATACTTGGATGGCCCATCTTCACTGGTTGTGTGGACTTAGCATAATTTCTATTCCTTTGGAGTTTTATCGGTTTAGTTACTGCGGTTCCCTGGAGTCGGAAACGTCGAACTCCTTCTCAGCTTGGAGATCCTGCCAGAGGGATGAATCCTTTAGCTGTACATCGCATCTCGGCACCTAAGAACACCTTCCAGCCACGATTATGCGGTAAATCGTTGGGGGTGGCAGGCATACTAACTGTAACTATGTGTATATTTACGTACATATTTATTAGGTGTTAGATGAGCTAGTAGTACAGTAGTGTCGCTTGGAATGTCGTGACGTATAAAATTTTTTTCTTCATTTGCTTCCAATGTCGTCGAAGGTGTGGTGGTATTGCCCATAAGTGATTCATCTATTTGGGTCTTCTGTTTAATAAGTCACTTCTTCTATGCAAATTCTATCCTTTTTCCTCTTGTGGATAGCAGTGAAAACTTGTACCGTCTGGTGGTTTCGTATATTTCTATACATGAAAGACTGCCGAGACAAAACCTGGTGATGAATCAGCTAAAATACGAAGAAAAAGAGATGTTGAAAACGATCAATTATGACTTGAAGTGTATTTCAAATTAGTAATTGTTGTCACGCTAAAAATATAGCAACAGAGTATGAATTCTATTATTGCGACAGAAGGGTACGTGTGGCGCAATGGTCGGAGGTGCCCTGCGATACACACAGGGGTTCGATCACTGCGCTCGTGGCTCACCAGACCTTCCATCCTACTGGCCTCGGCAAATTAGTGCGAGACTTGTCTGGGAAGACAACAGCACAGGCTTGATACATCGGTAATCTACCGCGGGTCGAGTCATTGTAAAGACCAGATGTGCATTCAATCACCTTCAAACGTTGCTTAATGAAGTCGAATGCATGGCGCAACCCTCAGGGACTGATCAACGCCGAGAGCTCTATCTTTTTTTATTTAGTATTACGACGACGCTTGCACGCATGTGTGTGCGCGCGCCAATTAAATCCCATTAAACAATCGATCGATAATCGCAAAAAATCAATGTGGCAAAATAATATTTGAATAGATTGCTATATTTTGAGCAGGGCAACAATAGTGGACGGTGAGAAACTGGAATAAATCATCTCTTTATGGAATTAATGGAAATTCGAAGCAAAATTACGAGAGGAGTAATTTGTTAGTGGGAAAATTATTGCACATATTGAGTGAATGTGCATTCAACCATTCATAACTTCCACATGTTTTCTACCCTGACCGTCAAAATTTCTTAGGAGGAGAACGGAAAAATTTGAAAAAGAAAAACGCATACGATCTACATCAGCCTGCAACCAATCCATGGAATCAGTCAATATCAGTTATATTTTTATAGATTTAAAGCAAAAATACACATCATATCGATTATATGAATAATTGATTGTGTTGTATTCGAGGAAATCTGGATAAATCGAAGTACAGTGTGGTTTATAAGAGGAATACATTCCGTTCTAGCCAATCCTTTCTGATTCTGTTTTTTGTGTGCAGAATTTTCAAAGGTTATATACTATATAATTCTAGAACCTATAGTGTCATGGTTAGAGATGCCCTACAGTAGAAAATGCATCATTGTCCTGCTCGATCCTGTGCTCCCAGCTCACCAAGCCCTTCATCCCTTCGGGTTCGACAAATTGGAACGAGATTTATCTGGGACGATATCAGCAATAATCTGATACATCGGCAGGCCTCGGTCAGGCAGTGTTCATGTTAAGGATACATTGAATAATCATATCTACAGTGCTACGTATGGAGTTGAATGCATGGAACACACTTAGAGATTGATTGTTCCTTTATCTTTTGTCCTTTCCACCATAACGGTGGCATTTCACGATTCCATATCAGTTTTCTGCAAACATTTTCGTTCCTAATTCTCCTAATGTTTAGCTAAAATGACACAGATTAAAAACGATGTTCTAAGATACAAAGTATTAGAAACGAAGCAAAGTGTTTCATTTTAAAAACAATGAAGTTTCGATGATAACAAATAGAATTTGAGGCAGCTAATAGATAAATTTATTATTTTTCAATAATGTCAATAACGATTTTCTCTCGGCAACTAAGGCTGAGCACTTAAACGTCGTCGTCGTTGTTCAAGTACGGCCTTTGGGCAGAGGATTTTCTTGAATGCCCGACGAAATTCCAAATTGAGAATACCGTAGAGAAATGGATTTAATGATGAATTGATATAACCCAACCATGTGAAGGCTTGATTCACCTGAAAAGAGTTGGAATCTTATCAGTATGAAATCGAAGTAAATCAAATTTGAAAATTGTATTTAAACCAGATTTTCTTCGACTTTTCTCTCTTACCTAGCGAAAAAAACCAGCAAAGAAAAGGAAATACAGATATCTTATTGTAATAATAGATTATATTCAGAGATTCAAATGTTATAGAGGTCTCTTGATAAATAGGAAAGCGGAAAAATTGCAATAAGAGCAACTATGTTATACTTGTTGTCCCTAAGGCAATCAATGATATAAAATTTTTTTTGAGACCTATATATTTTTTGACAAAAAAAATATAATGCAGGAGAGCAAGAGTATATCATTAACCTTAAACAAGCCTAGAAGCTATCTAAGCATGTGGACTTACTTATTAATTTATTTTATTTTTGGACGACCTATTTTTCACATCTATCGGGCAGATCCCTGCACCTCTCGCATTCAAACCGTTTCTTCGTCATCCACGAAGATCTTTCAACTTATGCTTGTGGATCCGGATGCTTATTGAGGGCTTTTCTTTCGTCATGCATGTCGTTGAAGGTTCGTCGAGTCGATTCTCAATGGTGTCCTGAGATAGTCGGGCTGGAGCGTTTCCATTTGGATCGCCGAATGGCATGCATTTACTAGCTTGCATGTAGATTCACGTAACAGACATCCAAAACGCGAAGTTAAATAAGAAAATTGGTTACATGAATTGTCGTAATGTTATAAACATGGAAGGTGTTTTTTTCAAAGTGTCTGCCGTAATTTATTCTGTTCAAAAATTATTACAAAATTTTCGTATTCGTTAGAAAAACTTAAACATAAATTTTTATTGGTATTGGTTTGATTAGCGGCAAGAAAATCTATTGCATGACATTCTTCTTTTCTCCGAAAAATACTTTACAATAGCTTTCGCTAAAATTTTTCTTGAACGTACTTTTGGATGAAGTGTACAGGTTTCGCAGAACGGAAGAATCACATAGGCACAGAAGAACGGTAACCAACAAAATGTGAACACAAATATTATGACGGCAATCGTCTTCGCTGCTCGTTTTTCTTTCGCCACACTGATATTTTCACGATGTCGAAGCATTGCCGTTGGATTCTTCAAGAAAAGAAGAAAAGACGGAATAGAATGACTAAATGAAGAATAACGTTTCATATCTACACTATCAATAACCTAGAGAAAACGACGCATTCATATTCCAATGCCGAGGTTAGTAGAAAGTCGATCCTGGAAACTTCTCAGATCATTTCCATACCTTTATAACAAAACGTGTAATGTGGTAGTCAGCGTTGCCCTACAAGAAACATCATATCCGTTAATTCGATCCTGTACCGTGGACGAGTTAAATCCTCCATTACTCTAGATTCGGTAGTCGGTACCATACTTGCAATAGAAGACAAGAGCAGTGGCTTGACTCATTGGAAGGCCGAAGTAAATCATTGATTAGAATAAATGTGTAGACTGTAACTTGGTGCTGAATTCAGTTAAATGCATGGCGCATCGCTAAAGAACTGATTGATGAACTTTGAGATCTTTATCCCTTTTACTTTTTAATCTAAATACTAAATGTATTCATTTTATATTGAGGAGGTTGGGCTCTTTAGATTTTTCGAAACATTATTCAACTCCGTAGTAGTTCTCTCGAAAAGATTAAGCACATGAATTCTGTGAATAATTGAAGAATCGTAGTCAGAACTTCAAATTTTTACCCTCGGATAATGAAGGACTTGAATGCAGCAATTCAATGAAGATATGAGTAATGATGGCGCGACCATAAAAGAAGTTGACACACCAGTTGAGGTAGGTAGAAATTCATTCTTCGCGCTTACTTAACTCATGCTGCCAGACTTATTTTCTCTATTGTGCTTTGCATACAGCTACATGCAAAAATTTACTTCTCATATTTTAAATGACCTGTCATGACATCTACTATGCGGATCCCAACACTTGTTGTTTCCGATTAGTATTCCTCGCATGCATCGGCTCACAATAGTCTTCGAACAATTAACGTGTTGTTTCAGCTGCTGCCTGAGGATTTCGACATTCTTTACGAATACCGGAAAACGCTGGTTAAGTTGAAAGCCCTTGCAATCTTGGGTATAGCCGAGTTAAGACATTCCCACATGGAACGGTGAAAAGCGTTGAGGAGATGACCTAGCTTTCTGACGAGCTGCATCACTAACAGCAACGTTACCCCATTCCCCGCATTTGCACAGGTGTATAGGCATCGCAGAAATTTTAAATAAGGAAGCAAGATTTCTAAAAAATGAAGACAAATTCATTGGTGGACTGAACTAGGTTGTGAGTATGGTGATATGGCGGGCTTAGGTTTCACCAACGAAGTCGTGTTGTTGTTCTTTCCATTTTACGTGCGGGGAACAGGAACAATTTCACAGTTCTGTTTTCTGATTTGGTAAAGTTTACTCTCAATCCTTTTTTCATAGTTTTTCAAACAGTTCGTGAGGGAATCAATTCAAGTAAGGGAACAGTAGCTGAAGCGTGGTAGAAGGTCATTCATTCATGGTACTCACTGTAAGGCATTCAATAGTGCATTCCACCTTTGCTCAAATTTTCTCGAGGATGTATAAGGATAGTAGGCATAATGATTTAAAGTCTCCGAAGGCACTACTGTTTGGTTAATCAAAAATGGAGTGTTTATGTTTCATTTTAAGCTCATGAATTTTATGCCTCGTCGAACCACTTTGATAGTGGACGTTAGTCAGTATTTCGGACTTGTTCTTATAATTGCGGCATAAGAGACATTTATAATATTAGCTTGCCAGTGAAGTTGGAAAACACTTGATGGCTGCTTCGTCTCTCTCACGTAGGGTCAAGTTTAGTGAAATACGTAAACAGCCGGGTTTTCCTTGTCATGCTTGCTACACCACCATGTGTTTCAATCGTAGAAGCCTACTACTTCTCTATGATGACATCAGGCCATATTTTTAGAAATATGGCGTAGAGGCCTGCTAGCGTGATGTGCGAAACCTCGCCTTACCCACACTATTAATCTAGGCGATCTCTGACAGTTTATCACTTATTCAAATACTTGAAACTTTTGATGTGAGAAGAAAACGCAGGACGAACTTTCTATGAACCTCGACATTGATCAATAATCCTATTGTGAACCTATTATGTATTAATAAATGCTGGCTTCGTGTTTGCTCGTCAAGAAAAACAGTGAATTATTGAGAAGAAAACGCTAGGCATTAATGACTAAATAGGTGCCGTTAAAGGTAGCAGATTGAAAGAAGTTTGCGCCATGAAAGGCTGAGTGAACAAAAGCATGCAAAGATTATTGAGTCAGAAAAGTGTTAAATGAGACTAGGAACATTTCCATCGTAACTAAGCACAGAAATATATTTAACATATATAAATTTTTGAACTTACTTTCCCATATGTATCCCCCTTGGGAGAGTTTCAACGAATGAGGACTCCCTTACCGAATCGCTTGAAGAAATGGTCATTTATGATCTCTTCCACTTAATTTCAGGGTGAGGAGACTGCTCCTTTAGCCAAAAGTATTAGCGACTGGTATTCTTGGTCTCTTAATTTATGTAGTTGCATCGGTTATTAGTTTTCAGGCGACCGGAATTTCTTGGTGAACTTAAAACTCTTGGTTTCATTAGCATGAGAAAGCTGTGCATGAAGCAATCGTATTTCTATTAGCTATTGTGGAAAACTGAATCTTTTCAAAAAATGAGATTGGAAAGGTACATATTAAGCACTCCGCTTGACAAAATCGCCAAATATGAATGCATACTAGATCCTTTGTTAGAGAGTTTTAGACTGCGTGACCTCATCGCGCTCAAAGAGTTCGATGGGCTCGAAGAGTAGCACACTTTTGTATACATATTTTGATTTTCTTTCGTCTCGTGAAGAAGAAAGCCAGCGTACCGTCATGGATGCCGCTGAACTCTTTAATGACAAAGGATTATTCCTAGTTTCGGTTGCCGAATCGAACTATCAAAGTCTTTCTATGACTAGGTAAGCTTGCTGAGAGCACGAGCGACAGGCAGAAGGGTCTTCTACGCTATTTATGACGCTGTAAAACATCATGCGATTTTACAATAATAGCAACAGCAAATGCCTTCTGCTTTATTTTACATGACCCGTTATTACATCTAGTGAGCGGATCCCAGCACTTCTTGCATTCGAATCGTTTTCCTCGCCAGCATCGCCTCACGATGGTCTTCGAACCTTTGGTGAGGTAGTTCGGCTGTTACCTGTTGATTTATCTTTATCTTCTTTATGAATGTATAGAATGTAGGTCGAGCCGCTTTCTTTGCAGCCGTGGAGATAGTCGGGTCAAGACATTCCCTTATGGGTTGGTGGACAGTGTTAGGGTGGGGGTCGAACTAGTGCCTTTGCTTCCTGATCGACTGTATCACTAACTTCTGCGCTATTCCTTAGACAGTAGTAAATAAGCATTTTTTGGCGAAGATTATGAAATTTCGTAATTATGTATAAATTCGTTATGTAGCACATATAATAGCATAACACATACGCTCCAGATGCAGCGCATGACATGCACACGTGGGTGAACAAAGTCAGCATTGCATCCACTGCATTTTAAGTGGTTCATTTTGCTACACAGAGTTGTTTATTGCAGATTTTGCTCTAGCCGTGGCCCTGGAAATGCTTTTCTCTAAACTCAATAGTTTACAGGAAACGTTCTTCTCGAAGATTTTCATTCACTGGTAATCTTGCTGATAATTGACTGTTATTTCATTCCAGTCGATTTGATGAATCCTAATTATTGCATTGGATGGAGAGCTATAAAGAATGCAGCAATAGACTCAATATAACAGCGATACGCTTCCAAGGGCTGAGAGTAACGTGTTTGCAGGGTAGACCAAGGTAACATACAGTAAAAAGTAAAGTACATAGCATACATTCTCCTATAGAGATAGACCGAAGTGTGCTCTACATTTCTTTAATGTTCTATGTCCCCAAAGTCCTCTAATTACAGAGAAAGCTTGTCCCCTGAAATCCTCCAAGTTCGCCACCGAGATAAAATTAGAATGTCTCCCACTCAGCAGCTGCAAAAATGCGAACACTGGATGTTATGTGACAAAAAATGGTTTGTAGTGACTAGTGGTCTAGACAAAAAGTCAGAGGTTTACATTTCAGTTGTGACAGTTGAAAAATACTTTCAAATCGATTTTTCGGAATTCTTAGCTGAACTATTTTAACAGAATTTCTCTTTAGTCAGAGATCATTATAAATAGTTGGCTAAAATTCTTGAAACCATCGATTTGCTTGTAAATGGATGGCTCTAGTCTAAATTACCAAACGCCTTCATGAGTTCCACTTTTTCTTAATGGGAACAACGTGTACTCTGCACAAGGACATGTACAGTGTTAACCTATCTAAGATTCGAACACCACAATATTACTGCTTTGAAAAACAAGGAATAAAATAATTTCAAGATTTTTTACCGAATCTTCTCGTTCCCAGGTTCGTTTCGAGTAATTGTTGCTATGATACTTCATTGACTTTGCCGTTTTATCCATGTTGTCCACAATATGAAAACAAAGCAAATATGAGTTGAACTTTCTTACTTTTTACTTAGAAAACAGGTCTGCTTCTTAGTTAGACGCATAAGTCGTTACACATGGACCAACTTACCTAATGACAATTACTTCATTAGTAATGTCAAGTAGAGAGAAACGCCGACCAAAGTACCGGCTTAAATCGACGAAAACTTTAATATTTTTTTATTTATTTATTATTTTATTTTTATATTAATTTTATATTTATTTTTTAATTATTTATTATCTATTTATAAAACTTTAACAATTTATAATTATTTATATACATTATACTTCCACGTGATTTCTGTGCGGTTGGTCTCTACGTGACATACTTAGTGGAAACCTCATAGAAAGCGGCTCTGAAGAAGGCGAAATTCGCCGAAACGTCAGCTTAATCGTGAACAAAGAATAGTAACACCTCGCGTTTGCTCAACAAAAATACGAAGAAAATCACTTGATCAATGCCGAGGTTAATAGAAAGTCGGTCGTGGCAGTTAATTATTTTAATTTCTAACCGTGACAAACTTGAAAAGTAAAGTAAATAGCTTT